TCAACCTCCCAAGTAGCTGGGACTATAGGCATCTGCCACAATGCCCGGCTATTTTTCAAGGTGAGGTCTGGCTCTGGCTCAGGTTGGTCTCGAACCCATGAGCTGAGGGAATCCACCTACCTTGACCTCTCAAGTGCTGGGATTACAGGCGTGAGCCACCGTGCCTGGCCTTCTCAGGGAGGTTGACAGGTGGACAGGGATGAGAGGAGAGAGGCCAGGACTAATGGGGTGAGCAATGGGAGTGCCAGGGACAATAAACTCTGGATGGACAGGATTTGAGGCCCAGATCAGGAGCCACCTAGGACACAGACACAGGGAATAGGGACCTCGCACTCCCCAGCCAGGCCCAGTAAGGAGGTCAATCAATAAATCAAGGCTGCTGTGTTGGCACTCATCCCACATGACTGGGCCATGTACAAGAGGAAAATTTGAGGCACCTGTGGGGCAGGTACACAGAGGAGCGTCTGCTGAGGATGCAGTCCCAAGTGCATCTCCAAACCAGGAAAGGAAAAGAGAGGCCTTGAGGACACCACCCTGCTGACCCTGTGACCATGACGTCTAGCCTCCAGAACTGGGAGGAAAGGAAAGCCTGGCCTGTGAGCAGCTGGCCTGTGGCATGTCCTTGGAGCCACAGCCTGAAAAGGTCGTGTTCCTGGAGGATGCTCAATCTCTGATAGATCAACCTTGCCCAGGAGGATGCTTCTCAATGCTGCCGGGTGTCAGGGCCAGGCGCAGTGGCTCACACCGGTAATCCCAGCACTCTGGGAGGCTGATGAGGGTAGATTGCCTGAGCTCAGGAATTTGAGACCAGCCTGAGTGAGACCCTGTCTCTAAAAAATAAAAAATAGCCGGGAGTTGTAGCAGACACCTATAGTCCAGCTACTTGGGAGGCTAAGGCAAGAGAATCTCTTGAGCCCAAGAGTTTGAGGTTGCTGTGAACTGTGAAGCCACAGCCTCTATTCAGGGTGACAAAGCAAGACTGTCTCAAAAACTCCCCCAAAACAAAAAACAAACAAAAAACCCTGCAAAGCTAGTGAGTGTGACCTTATGCATACTCAGACCCATCTGCGTTCAGTTTACTGACTGAGCTCGGTATCTGTGGCTTGAAGGAGCCAGGTCAGTGGCTCTAGGCTGAGGAGACTATAGTCGGTCCAGAGGCAGAAAGGGGCCTCTGACAGAAGGGCCCAGGAGAACAGATAGGACAGCCGGAGGGCAAGAGATAGGTGGGCCAGGCTGGAGAGTGTTTGGTCATGGAAGACTGAGGAGAAGCACAAAGGCCAGGGATTTTGTACCAGGGAGTCTCTCACCTGAGAATGTCCTCCAGCGTGGAAACCATGAACTCATAATTTTCATTCAATCCATTCCAAGGCACAAATTGCTTTCTCTGGTTGTACACAAAGTTGTCCCAACAGTATTCAAATTCTAACATCAAATCATGGAGAAAGAAATCAGGAACCAGCAGGCCTATCTCCCCTGCCTCTTTGGACCCTCCCTTCCCAGGTCAGGGTCTCCTGGCAGCCTAGGGGGTCTGGGCTGGCTCAGGCCTCATGAGGCTCCCCTGGAACACTCTACTCTGCTGGCATCTAGACCCAGGACTTCTCCATGGTGTCCCTACCACACCTGCATGCCCAACCCCCATCTCACCTTCATAACCCATGATGTGCAGCTGGACCCCTTCCTGATCCATCCTGAGAAGCCCTTGCTGGAAATCTGATTCCCAGAAGAAGTTGAGGTGGGCAGCAAAGATGGTCAGGGTCACCCTTCTGTGCATGGCCAGAAAGTGAACAATAAGATTTGCACAGTTGGCGCAGGGACCCCTGGATACATACCAGGTGACATGGTAGTGGTGGTCAGGGGGCAGTACCCCTTGGATCCAAGTCAGGAAACATTCTTCTGCATGGCAAGGAGTCTTGACAGGGCCCTGGGAGAGGAGAACAGAAGTGGGTGCTCTGGGTGGAGGGGCAGGCAGAATGCAGGGGTGGCGAAGTGGTAGGAGGGAGCAGGCCAGGAGCCCCAGGGCACCTGGTTCCTCCAGATTCTCTTCCCCACCTCTGCCCTCACTTCTGTTCTGTCCTTTAATCTCCCTGGCCCCATTCATGGACTCTAACTGTCCTAATCCAGGTATCCACCCAGCTGGCACCCAGAGCACTTGGTTGGTCCCTGCCTGCTGGCTGCTACTCAGGGCTGTGGAGCTGCACCCACCCCTCTGGGGGCCACAGGACACAAGTGGCTGCTGAGCACGTCAAATGTGACTTTGAAATGAGAGGTGGGGCTCGGTGCCTATAGCTCAACCAGCTAAGGCGCCAGCCACGTACACCTAAGGTGGCGGGTTCGAATCCCCAGCCTGGACCCGCCAAACAACAATGA